AAATAAAACTGACCCGGTGTATTATTACTCGAGTCAACCATCTATATATGTGTCTGTGTTTTTCTTTGTGTTCTGCGCATTTGTGTTTTATGTTCTGTGTTCATCCTCCATCCTATAAACGGGCCATGACAGTGTGTGTGATGGCTGACAAGTCCCTGGCTGAGAGGAGTTGTTTACAGTAAGCAATTATTACTACAAACGTTTAGAGAAATGTAAGAAAGTGCATTGTAAAAGCATTAACCATCCTGTTTCTTGTCCTGGTCCCATGGCATTTTCTGTCTCTGGGAACTGAGATTCAGTGTGGGCTCTGCCCTGAGCTCAGCGGTCCAGTTGAAAAGCATAACGAATTAAAAAGCCAATTACCTAGCTAGATTGGTCTCCAAAATACGACATTCTGACATTTAGCTTTTTATTTTTAAAAGATTTTCAAATTTCCTCTAGGCTCATCTGTATCTCTCTTTATCAAATTGACTTGATACATGCTTAATTTGTCTTTGAGCTTATAAAGACATAAAAATATGGTTTTTGTTAAAGGAAAAGTAATTTTGTCTAGTTTAGAGGTTTTTTAAGATTATTTTAAATTTAAAAACCATGGCTGGGCATGGTAGTGGCTCACATCTGTAACCCTAACACTTTGGGAGGCCAAGTTGGGAGGGTCACTTGAAGCCAAGAGTTTGAGACCAGCCTGAGCAACATAGCCAGACCCGATCTCTACAAAAAATAGAAAAATTAGCCAGGTGTGGTGGTGCACACCTGTCATCCTAGCTATTCAGGAGTTTGAGGCAGTACAATGACTTGAGCCTGGGAATTTGAGGTTGCAGTGAGCTATGATGGTGCTGTTGCACTCTAGCCTGGGCCAGAGTGAGATCCTGTCTCAAAAAAAGTTTTTTTAAAAATGATAAATAAAGCTAAATAAATACAAAAAATGTTTAGAAGAGAGAATAAAACATTATAAAAAGTTATAAAAGATTTATAAAGATCCTATTTTGTGTAGTCAAAACTGATTAAGATTGGCTAGATCTGTTTAAGATTTTATTAAAATTAACTTTAATATTGACAATACACTAATATAAAAGTAAAATTTAGTTTACTCTCTCTTGAATGATATTTTTGTATAATAAGAGATAATAAAAGATTTTTGTTCACCTTTGGAATAAACCACAAAAAGGAAGGAAGAAAGAGACAGACAAATTTTGTTTGCTTCGTGCTCTTTGTTAGGTCTTTTGGTTGAGTGGGAAATGAAATCTCCTCTTTATCAAAGTGTAAAGGTTTTTATTTTTTGAAATCTATAAATTTCCACTTTGGCTAAATAAACCAGGCCACAAGTACTCTTGAATACAGGTTTTTGAAAACTTTAGAAGGCAACTATGCTTACCACTATACCACCAATGCCCCCTGGTTTTTGATAAATTTGGAGATAACACCATTGGACTAGGAAGAAACTTTCAAGATTCTAATTTAAAAAACTGATGTGTTCATGAGGATTGCTCACCCAACACCAAACAGAACAAGAGTTATTTACATAGGACTGAGACTATTGACAGAGGACTAAAATAATTCTTTATGACCTTTTTGTTTGAAACGTTATTCATTCTTTTTATGTTTTGTTTTCCAGAAGTCAAGAAAACTTTTTTCCTTTAAGCTATTTACAGCTTTCAAAAAATTGGGCAAAATATACTTTGTGAGCAAAATTTGAAGTATTTTTTCTCTCTACCTGATTTCTCCAGAATTTAGAAACTATGTGTAAATATATATATATATTTTATTTTATTTATTTATTTATTTTTTGAGACAGAATGTCACTCTGTTGCCCGGACTAGAGCTCCATGGCAACAACCTAGCTCACAACAACCTCAAACTCCTGGGCTCAAGCGATCCTACTGCCTTAGCCTCCTGAGTAGCTGGGACTACAGGCATGTGCCACCATGTCCAGCTAATTTTTTCTATATATTTTTAGTTGGCCAGTTTCTTTCTATTTTTAGGAGAGACGAGGTTTCACTTTTGCTCAGGCTGGTTTCAAATTCCTGACCTTGAGCAATCTTCCCTCCTCGGCCTCTCAGAGTGCTAGGATTACAGGCATAAGCCACTACCAGCCTATTTGTGAATATTCTTAATTTATAGCAATAGAGTTATTTGCATTAGTTCAATAAGAATCTGTTTTCTTTTGTTAATATGACAGGATTGGAGGCACTGGTTATTTTACCAAGGCTTTAACTAGAATAACATATTTTTATATATGACCAGACTACTTTGAAGAACTGAGGTTGATTTTATAGAGCTGATAAAAAGCCCCTTGGAAAGTTGGCCTGGTACTTTGTCTATGCAGTTCCTTTACAAGTTTCCTGACCTGTGTCGAGTAAAGAATGTCACTTTCTGATAGGCCAAGGAATCTCAAATTATTTTGGGACCTCAAGAAGAAAGTAATTCACCTAATTCATCAGACTGTATTGCAGGCAGTCTGATGGCAAATCCTTGACTTGGCTAATCTCAAGCTTTTTAAAAAGTCTAATATAAAATTCCTCATAAAAAATCAAGTAAAGTCAATTTTAAAATAACCTATATGGCCAATCACTATTCTTGCTGCACTTTATACAAATAATCAGGACAAGTATAATGACGCTAAAACTTACTTTGCAAATAAACTGATTATACTATGATTTGTCTTTAGAAAAAAATAGAAAACTAGAGAAAGAAAAACTATATTTGAAAATCTACCATATACTTGTTATTAAGTTCTAGCCTTGTCCATAGTTTTTGAGTTTTTATTATCTGCTTACAATTTGGACTGAATCTTGAATTCTTTCTTGGCTACAAGTCTCCAAACTAACGTTTCCAAATTTTTCTTTGGAAAATAAACCCACTAGCTACAGATCCTTGGTTTAATCCCATTCACAAAGCCATGCCATGAGACCCGAGCCTTAATCTATATGATTGGTCTGGGGTCCTCTGTGTACCTCCATCCAGGATAGTTGTTTGTGGAGAGATACCAAGGAACCCCCTTGGCTTGTAAATGTATTTATTGACAGCTGGCACATAGAGGAAACCTACCTGTTACGTTACTCAGTTATTTCTTTTTCTACACATAAATCTGCTAAAACCAAGCACTGGAGTAGCTCCATAAATTACTTGCTTGAACCAAATGATCAGCAAACTCACTTTGGGGATTCACCAATCTATAGTTGCCTGGTACAAGAAGACAAAGCTGGGTACTTCTCTGGGTGGACTTTGTTAGCTTGGTAAGGAGTGGCATCCCATCAGCACATGACTAAAAATCTCGTTCTCATTTTAGAATTCTTTTTTTTTTTTTTTTTTTTGAGACAGAGTCTCGCTTTGTTGTCCAGGCTAGAGTGAGTGCCGTGGCGTCAGCCTAGCTCACAGCAACCTCAAACTCCTGGGCTCGAGTGATCCTTCTGCCTCAGCCTCCCCAGTAGCTGGGACTACAGGCATGCGCCACCATGCCCGGCTAATTTTTTATATATATATTAGTTAGCCAATTAATTTCTTTCTATTTATAGTAGAGACGGGGTCTTGCTCTTGCTCAGGCTGGTCTTGAACTCCTGACCTTGAGCAATCCGCCCGCCTCGGCCTCCCAGAGTGCCAGGATTACAGGCGTGAGCCACCGCGCCCGGCCTCATTTTAGAATTCTTGGTGATAAATCTGCATTGGCAACAGCCATCCAGCCTCCTGGTGTAAAAGTGCACATTCCTTAAAACTAAAAGAGGGTGCCAACCAGTTTGACCACGATATTTTATTTATCCCTATAAATTAAATTATTTAAGTTGACAGTTCTATCAACCTTAAATAATGAGAATCAGAAAATCTGATTAAGTATAGAGTTTATTCAAGCCCAAAGCTGGGAACAGCCATCCAGGAAACACCAACTCCAGAGAAATGGGGTAAGGTGCTCTGAGGTTAAAAGTGAAGATCTTGCTTATAGAGGCAGAAGACAAGGAAATTCAGTACAATTATAACATTTTTCATACAAGGCTGGTTTATGACTTACAACAATTTAAGTAGTTATAGTTTGTTTTCTTTTGTGCATAGTTTGTTTTTATTTTCTTTCCAATTTAAAAGAGCGTATTTAACATTCCATCTTAGACAGCATGATAGTTATGAAGTCTTTGTGTGAGAAAGGTAAGAGGGAAGGCTAACCTATAATGAAGACCGACAGTGAAGAGGGAAGGGGCCTTCCTTGACACCGTATGGTCATTTGTAACATTTGACAAAACAATGTAGGTAAGAGGGAAGGCTAGTGTATAGGCAGAGAAACAAAGGCTACGGCTTCCTAGGTTATAGCTGCCCATTTATGTGACTTAGGCCCCCTAATCACATCCCTGAAGGCTCAAAATATTTTAAAGTTCCAACAGCTTAGATTGTTAATTACTTATTTTCATAGTTCCCAGGTGCTTGGGTCACTTTCTACAGCCTCAGGCACCTCTCAGGAAACTCGTCTTCAAGATTCTAGACCCACAAGGCTGACCGTGGCGTACAGAGATTTAATAACAACTTCAAAGCCTTTCCTGACCATCAATGCAAAGATCTCACAGCTGCCAGACCCTTTCAGTCTTTTCCAAGGTCCATGAACCAGATTTCTGTGAGGGAAGAGAGGTGTCAAGAGTACTTCAGGGGCCAGGTGCGGTGGCTCACACCTGTAATCCTAGCACTCTGGGAGGCCGAGGCGGGCGGATTGCTCAAGGTCAGGAGTTCAAGACCAGCCTGAGCAAGAGCAAGACCCCGTCTCTACTATAAATAGAAAAAAATTAATTGGCCAACTAATATATATAGAAAAAATGAGCCGGGCATGGTGGCACATGCCTGTAGTCCCAGCTACTCAGGAGGCTGAGGCAGCAAGATTGCCTGAGCCCAGGAGTTTGAGGTTGCTGTGAGCTAGGCTGACACCACGGCACTCACTCTAGCCTGGGCAACAAAGTGAGACTCTGTCTCAAAAAAAAAAAAAGAACACTCCAGGGCCCAGACACCCTCCTCTTCCCCAAACTCCCAGCTAATCCCCAAAACTATCCACGACCACCCTACATTTGAGGGAGGGTGAGGCCAGATGACCCCAGAGAACCCATGGGGAGTCTGAGTTGGTGCTCACTGGCTTTAGTGTGAGTTTTTACTCCCAACTAGCCCCTGACAGGGCTTCTTACCTTTCCCAGACCAAAAATCACTGGCAAGGGCTCCTTTGTTGTTGGTCACAATCAGCTTTGTAAAGTCCATGTCATCCCTGGCAAAGTCCCGCTGGATGCCACACCAGTACCACCCCGTGTCCTCCTTGGTCAGGCAGGACACAGTGACAATGAGTTGGTTTCCCGTGTCCCTCAGGGCCACACGGCCGGTGCTGTTGGGGGTGAAAGCAATGACGTAGCAGTAGTCCCGGAAATAGCCTCTGCACCAGTATTTGGGGTGGTCCTTATAGAGGGCGTCGTAGCTGCAGATGACAGAGGCTGTGTCCAGCACAAAGCTTTCCTTGACCTTTTTGTCCATGACCATGGCGTCTGTGAAAACACACACACACACACACACACTGTTGTTCTTCCAAACACATCGCAGCTCCTGCCCGCCTAAAGGATAATTAGAGAATTGGAAGCCAAGTTCTCCTTTTTAAGGGTTGGCAGCTGTTACAGGCTGAACTGTGTACAGCCCCAAAGTTCACACATTAAAGTCCTAGCCCTAGTACCTCAGAATGTGACTGGATTTGTAATTCAGTTAAAATAAGGTTATTGGGGTGGTCCTTAAACTAATTTAGTTGGTGTCCTTATGAAAAAAGAGAGAGAGATTAAGACACTGACAACACAGACAGAGGAATGATCCATGGATATATATCATCCAGGTTGCCCAGTAAACATCTTCAACAGCAAGAAGGCAGCCACATGCAAGCCAAGGAGAGGCCTCAGGATGAAACCACACCTGCCAGCACTTAACTTGAACATCTAGCACCCTGAACTCTGAGTAAATAAATTTCCATTGTGTAAGCCTCCCAGACTGTGGTATTTTGTTATGGCATTCCTAGAAAACGAATACGGCAACTCTGGAGAAGTCTTTTTCCCCAGCCTAAGAGTGGGTTAAATATGGAGAACTCTCACCATTGCTTGGCAGGGAGCCTGTAAGAGCCTGAGGCTTACTGGCAGTAGATCCTCTGTCCCCAGTTCCCACCCCACCTTGGCACCTTCAAAAAGAAAGTGAGAAGGGTTGAAGACTTCTGCAGGCTGCATAGAGCTGAAAACAGAGGGAGTCAGGTTCTGTCCTTAGGAGCTAAGAACTTCATGTTTCCTCCGCACGACACCAGCACAGGCCCCTTATCATCTCAGGATATTGCATAATGAGGAAGTCTCACACACCACGTCCAGACTTCCCAGGGCTGGTGCAACATCTGACCAAGGAGAAGAGATGGGGCAGCACAGCCCATCCCTCTCTCAGCCTTCCAGATGTGTGCTGGGGACCCGCCCATGCTCCTCAAACATGGTGCACAGTGGGTGGGGCCATCCTTGAGGTCATTCTGTTCACATATCGACCACACAAGGAAGATCGTGTGGTCTGCAATTTATAGGCATGGATGATGACCCAGAGAGAGGTGCTTTGACTCTGAAGGTTGTACGACTGAAGTGTGACAGAGCCGAGACAAGGCCAGTCTTCCAAGCCTGGGGCCAGGCTTGGGCAGGAAGGGGAAAGTCGTGTCCTCATTCATCTGCACAAACATTTGGGGGGGGGGTGTGGAGGGGAACTTGGGCAGACCAAAAGGGAAAATGCAGAGCCCTTATTTTAGCCAAAGGTTTCAAACTCCCTACAAAACTTGTTATCAGAGCTAAGAACAAGAACTAATATGGACAAGACCTATTTTCACCTCTTTCATTTTCTCACCCACTATTTAGGTGGTCTGTGCTAACAAGCAGGAACTCCGCTGCAGTGCAAGGTCTCTGGGAAGGCCACAGCTTGGAAGCTGGAGATGTTCCTATCCCCATCTTACCTGAAAAGAGGGCCAAGGAGAGCAGAATGAAGGGCCACATGGCTAGAAGGAAGCAAACCTTTAACTGGAATGACAGGATATACCCAGGGAATCTCAGGAATCCTGGACCTGTTTAAGGGAAACAGATATGTTTGAAGCTTAAGATTGTTTTATCCTGTTTGAACAGACCAGTGAAAAGGGAGAAGAACCAGTTAATCCAAACAATGCTGCCATATATAGGTATCCAGGTTGTACACTGCACAAGCATACTTCCATCTGGGAGTCATCAGAGAGATGCCATTCATGGACATAAACTTACTTATGGGGCAACTAAGAAAATTCTGGGCTTCCTGGCAGAGCTCCAAACAGCAGTGGAGATCTCTTTCATAGAAAAATTCTCTCTGGCACACCAGGCCTTGTACATACTTTGAAAAGCACATGTACATACTTTGAAAAGCACATGTACATACTTTGAAAAGCACATGCACATACTTTGAAAAGCACATGCACACACACACAGACAATCACTGGCCCACATTTGTAGGTGCTCAATTGTGCCCTGCCCTGTTGCTAATGGTCCTGGCATCATCAGAGGCCACTCCTGCTGTCTGTCCGCCACTCTCAGAGGCCCAATTCCTATGCAACTGACAAGAATCCCAGTAAAGAGATCCCTAACTAACCCCACACTCACACGGACACTGCAGCCTCCCTGGCGGGTGTGGCGGGTGTGGGTGGAGTGTGCAGCTGCCAGGGGCCTGTGTGCCTGGAATCTGAAGCATGTGAGCAGGCAGAAGTGTGGGTGTTTGGGTGTCAGCAGCCAGGGCTGTGGACTCCAGACTTCTGGAGTTTTCCTGGGCAGAGCTGGGACAAAACAAGGAGACTTGTCATGCTGCAGCCGCAGCTTCTCCTGAGTCCTAGCAGGATTCACATGCTCTGAGCACACATTAGAAAAGCCTGCATTATCGAACCACCCCTCCAGGGAAGTTAGCTAGGTGTCACTTATCACACCCAGAGCTGGCACTTCCCATCAAGGGCCAGACGTAGATATCGTCCAGGTTGTGCAATAATGTCCCCTCTTGAGGAAGGGGAGCCTTCCTCTGATTCTTGCAAAGTCAGCATGGGGTCGCAGCACACCTGCATCATGGTGGGTGTTTTACCTACATTACCTCGTTAACTCCTCATCCAACACTTCTGAGTTCAACAAATAAATTGCATGACGAAAAAGGAAAAGGAGGACCTACAGGTTAAGAGGGACATAGGCATATTGACTAATTGCAATAGAGTAAACTTATTTGGATTCGTATTGAAGCAAACAATTCAGAAAATGTGACGCTATTAAGAAATAATTGTTAAATTTTGTTAAATATCATGTGATTATGGTATTGTCTCAGGCAGCCCTCAAGATAGCTCCTGGTGTTCACACCCTTAGGTAGTCCCCTCCCAAACTGAATCAGGGTTGGACTTTGCAATACACAAGACATGGCATAAGTGACATGTGTGACTTCAGAGCAAAGTCAGAAAGGGTGTATTACTTCCACCCTAGTCTCTTTTTTGTTTGTTTTTTTCCCATCCTGTGGCCTGTTGTGCCCTAGTCCCTTGCACAGCTCCCTCTGGGAGAGTCAGCCACCAGGTCATGGGGACTCTCAAGCAGGCTGTGAAGGGTCCCATGTGGGAAAGAACCCACTTGCCAGCGTCAGCTTCCCAGACATGTGCGAGTCACATTTGGAGTGGGTCCTCTGGGCAAGTCAAGCCTTCAAGTGACTGGAGACCCAGCAACCTCCTGGGAGACCCTGAACACAAACTGCTCACTCAACCAAGAAGCCCCCTGAACTCTCCACCCATGGAAGCTACAAGAGATAATAAAGGATTATTGTTTTGAGCCTCCACGTTTTGGGGTAATTTGTTACACAGCAATAGATAATTATTAAATAATACAGATATTGTGGTTATATTGTTTTAAAGTAGTCATTATCTCTGATGATGCTGAAATTGCCAGGACTTGATTAATAACTGACAACTTCCCTAATATTTGTCCTCACTTCCAACTTAGGACCGACGAGAGAAAGCCGTTAGGCTAACGTGGCTCCAGCATCTTGGGATCCTACATAAGCAAACTGAAGCCCAGGCAATGTAAACAGTAAAAGTAAACTTAAGTTTAACCAATCAGGAACCACCGAGCTAACCTCTAACCAGGGACTTTCCACTTTAACCAATCAAATATATTTTGTTTTCCTTCCACAAACACCTTATAAAGGTTTGCCCTTTCACCCTCTCAGTGGAGTGTGCTGAACAGCTTGCCGTCTGGAGCTGCCTGATTCATGAATTGCTGGATGCTCAAATAAAATCATTCAAATTTTAACGTGACTAAGTTTACATTTTTACACCACTATAAAGCTTTGCCACTCTTCTCCCTGCCTTGAGTCTCTGCCAAAATGCAAGTGACTGTGGCTGACTCCCTTGCTATAGCAAGCCCAGAACAAATAGCCTTTGTTTGTTTCGTTTACGTTGGTCTCCAATTATTTCCACAGTTGACTTAATTAAAAAAATAATAATAATAAGACAAAAAAACCCATAGTTACTCAACGTCCATGTTTGTTCCAGCTTATTCGTATGGAGAAAAAGGAAGAAGCAAACCTCAGTTTTGCTGGGTGGTCTTTTTCCCTTATGTCTTTAGAATAAAAGCCCACAGTTACTGTTGAGTGCTTAGCTGAAGAGAACTAGCCAGGAGAAGGGCTCTCTAAACCTGAAACCAGGGTGGATCTCATCACTTCTAGCCAAGCTCCTCACCAATGACTCTTGGTTCATCTTTTTTGAGTTTACTCTAAAAGACATTTTTACTGTAAGGACTTCTGGGCCAGTGAAACACCTTATCTCAGGAGATTCCCGTTTTTGACAAAAACAAAACAAAAAGCACAACTCCCTGCAAGCCATCAGTGGACTTGCTAAGCAGTGGCAATCAAAAAGAAAAAGAGAAAAGAAAGGGAAGAAGGAGGAGGAAGAGGAGGAGGAGGAGGCGAGAAAAGAAAAAAAAAAGTAAAAGCAGTTCTGAAACTGAGGAGCTACAGCTTGCCTAATGACACCAAAAGATTCAGGTAAGGCTGCTTTTTTATCTTGGGGGAAGCGGTCTCTTTAGACCTAGTTTCAAAAAAAGGACAAGGGTTAAGTTTTGCTATAGCAACTAGGTTAGAAATGTATTTGTCAATTAAGAAGCATGGTGTGGAGATTACTGGTAGACTGAGAGCTGAACAGCCCTTCGTCTCAATTCTCCAGCTGGGCAAAGGTTGTTCCAAGTCCGAAGAGTGTGCCAGGATGAGCAGAAGCCACAGAATAAACCCAGGGGCTCATTCTGGAGGTGCATTTTAACTAAAATTAACTGAGGGGAAAAGCCTAGAATTCTTGATTCTCCCTAGGCTGACAGTAAGAGGAATAAGGACGCTTTGCCGAAACAAAATGTTAACAAGATAAATCTTGTTATCAGGCCCTGCCCTAAGATTAGGGCTAGGATAAATTTTCAGGACTGGCTCAGAATTAAATTCATTTTTGGATACACTTACCCTATTTGATATAGTTTAATTGAAGTCGCCATTCTGCTGTTGTTGTCAAGTTAATATATTGTCTTGGGAGTGAGAAGCCACAGCTGCAAATTGGGACAGACCAAACCAAAGATGCCACCTTGAATTTCTGGAGCCACACTCCAGAAATGCTCAAACGTGACTGGCACTCTTAGCCTGTCCAGGATCCTCATTAATCAGAGATCACCAATAGCAGCTAAAGCAAAAATACCCCAGCAGTCCTCAAGTGTACACAGTATAGTTTGCACCCATCTATCTGTTAAGTTTACATCAGGTGAGCTTGGTGAAGTTACAAGCTCCTCTTGATGTCTGAGAACAAGTGGCAAGAAGCTCTGGTTCTCCCATAAGGCAGGGCTGAGCTGAAACCCTGGCTCTACTACTTGTTAACCAAGAAATTATAGACAAGTCACTTAACTCCTCAGCACCCCAGATTTGTCTTCTACAAAATGGTGATGATACTAATGTTGATACCTATCTCACAGATTGTCAGGATCCAAAGAAATAATGCATGCAAAGTGTTTAGTGCATAGAAAGGGCTCGACAAGTAATAGCCGTCCATTGTGTCTTTTTGCCCTGCACCCACTACTCCTATTAGAAGAAAACACCAGGGGAAATAATTACGATTCCTTCTCTAACAGTAAATGAGTGGTTCATGAATTTGGAAAATGTTCTGATCATCCTAGGAATAAGGAGCAGGGTGTTCTGGGGCAAGGGGTAAGAAGGTGAGCATGCCATACGGCTCCAGGTAGCAAGCAGGCTGAGTGTCAGGCGCAGCCAGCTGGGCCTTCAGGTTCCAGACCCCAGAAAAAAGCCACCCAACATTTAGCTACCATCTTTTATTTACCCAAACACATCCACAGGTAAATTCAGCAGCAGTTTAAATCCCCCTTAAACTCAGTTCACTCCTCCTGTTCCCACCATCTCCTGAGCATTTCTGAGAGGGAGTTCTTTGCTAAGTCCCACAATGGCGTGGAACTGAGTCACTATCATGTACATGTCCAGACCAATTAGAGTCTTTTGCTGATAAGTCAGTGAGGCACCCTCAGGCTCCATGACTTCTTTTGTTTGGGAAGGAGGAACACAGGCAATAGTACAATAATACATCATCCTCAAGTCAGGCCTCCAGAAAATTGAATTCAGGAAGAAAGACAAGGAAAACTATTGAAGTGGAGGAAGAACATCGTAGGGGAGGTATGAGAGGAGGCAGCCAGCCAAATGCTCCCCATCTCAGCGGATGAAATCAATGATGCAAAAAGCCCTTGGCCAGGGCAGATAGGCCAGGTCCTCAGGTGTTTGTTGATGGTCAATCTGAATGTCAATGAGACAGAGTCATCTTTCACAGATAAACTACTCAGAAGTCTGCTCAATGCTTGGGTCCAAGGAATCAGAGGGATGGCAGATCACACAGGCTTTGAGGATCAAAAGGTAGGTTTCCTTGAACTTCTTAATTTTATAAGCATAGACGATAGGGTTCATCATGGAGTTAGCATGGGACAGCAGGATGCCCAAGTACAATACAACTGGTGGCACCTCACCACTAAAGTAGATAACACAGTTCATGATGGATAATGGCAGCCAGGACACAGCAAACAACAAGAGAACCAGAGACAGGGACTTAGCCGTCTTGAACTCCCGTCCATAAAATGCACTTGTCTCTTTAGAGCTAGAAAAGTTCTGACTGAGTTTGTTCCGGATGACGTAGAAGATGTCAAGGTAGATGCCGCACATGACAACTAGGGGAAGTAAAATCCCCGCGAAGAAGCTGACGTAGACCATGTAGTCCATTCTTATGACTGAACGGAACTGGCAGGAGAGGAAGGTGGCATTTCTGTGGTGCCCTGGGGTCATTTTCATGTTCCAGCCAAACATGGGTGTCAATCCCATCAGGAATGACAACAGCCAGCAAAAGCCCAGGGCCAGCCATATTCTTCTCTGAGTGGTGACCCTCCTGTATCTGTTTGGATGAGAAAAGCCAGTGAGTTCACAGCAGGAATTGCTAAAGGGTGGAGGGAGATGGCGCTGGCAAAGGAGAGAGAGAGGGTGACATAAGCACACACTCTCTCAATTCCCCCATCTGCTGCTAAGAGAGGAGAGCAGTGACACTCTATGGCGATTTCAGCCAAACTCTACTGGATGGGAAGACAGGATGAACAGACAATGGATTAGAGAAAAATCCAGAAAGCTTCTCTGGAGAATCTTCTAAAGAAGGACAATCTAGCATGGATGGGGAATATGTTGCTTAGAGTCACTTCCACTTCCAGCCCAAGAATTCCTCAATTCCTGGGAGGTAAGATTTATCTAAGTCTCCTGGGATTGCCTGCCCAGTGAGAAATGATCTTCTCAAAGCATGCTTGCCTGCCAAGCTCTGCACTGTTTTGTTTGGCTATTGTGCAGATGCTCATAAATTATACTGTCTCTCCCACACTTCCACTCTATCTGTGCCTGCCCCACTTCTCTATTTGTGGGGGTATCCATACGTGGTGTTCGAGCTCAGTGAATCGGTGGAGTTGTGAAGATTGTGTTGAAGTGCTTCAGAACCCTTAAAAGACTCATCCAGTAAGAGTTTTTCCCTAAACCGTTCTTCCTGACAGCAGCATACACAGACTGCAAGAAGGAAACTAATACTGTTAAATACTGGCTATACACTCAGTAGATTTTATCTCCATTAAATCTCAAAAAAAATTGGGGATATTTTTATGATAATCTCCATTTTATTGATGGCAATTGTGAAAATAATAGGAATTATAGCTACCATTTATTGAGCATAAACTATATACCAGGCATTTTTCTAAGAGCTTTACATATGTTAACTCATTTAATCTTATGAGGAAAATACAATTTTTATCCCCATTTTATAGGTAAAAGATTGAAACACAGACAAGTACCTTATACAAGCTAGAAGTGGTGGGGCTAAAATTGCAACAAGGTAAGTTTGTGTTGAGAGCATCTTAACCACTGGGATACAGATGAGGAAACTGAAGAAGGAAAAGATAAATAGCTTGCCCAAGATAAAATCTCAAGATCTGGTATTTGAAAACAGACTTGTTTATATCTAGAGCTTGTTTGTAGCCCCCTCACTATGTTCTTTTCTCAAGAGAAGGGAGGAGAAACATGAGACCAATGCAATTTAGGACACCTGGGAATTAAATGTCTCATTTTGGCAGTCTGTTCTCTTCACACGGTCACATGTAAGCTTGGGACTACTGTGGGCAATGAAGAACATTTTTGGGTAAAAAAAGGTCTCATGCTGGAGGAGGAGCAGGAGGAAGAGGAGGAGAAATAATGCATATTCTAAGAATCCTTTCCTCAACCTTGAGGCAGGCACAGAATAGAAAGCAAAAAGATGACATAATAACCTACATTTGCAAAGCAAAAGAACCATCAGTTGGTCCCCCCTCATTCTTATCTGTCTGATTCTCCTAAAATAAGAAATCTTATCTGGTAGGGTTCTAACATTACTAAAACTCAAGAGCATTTTTTACTAATTAAAAGATGTGTCAAAGACTTCATCATCTTTAGCTACCCGGGAGATTGAGCATTTGCCCCTACTCAGTGGAGAAGGGACTGGAGAATTCCTGATGATCCTAGTTCCTGAGTCTCAGCTCACCATTGCTCAAGCCCTCACAGACCATATTGAGACATTTGTTGCCCTATTTCAACCTCAAGGACCAACATGGGTTCGTTTTCACTCTAAAGGTCTGGGATCTGAACTTTTGTAGCCCCACTTTGCAGGCACCTCTACAACTGCCTCACCCCACCCCGTAGGCTACCTGATGGTCAGCTTGACCCGCAGGTACCGGTCCACAGCAATGGCCAGCAAGGACATGATGGACGCGTGGGTAAAGATCAGCAGCAGGCAGGTCATGAAAAGGCAGCTGTAGAAGTGGACTATGATGCCCAAGCTGATGACAATGGCCAGAGGCATGACCAGCACCCCAACAGCAATGTCAGCCAGCGCGAGGGAGACAATGAAATAGAAGGTGGTGGTCTGCAGGCTGGGGTTCAGCTTGACCACCAAGATGACCAGCACATTGCCCACTATGGCGCAGAGCCCGATGAAAATCTCCACGGTGATGTAGGTATAGTTGGCCAGCGACAGGACAGTGCTGTTGATGGGCATCTTGCCTTTCCAGAGTCGCCTCCAAGGTGACAGGTGAGCCAGGAGGATCTGTATGGCCAGTGGGCCTAGCTCTTCCCAGACATCTTCCCAGAGCTCCGTGTGTAACAACGGTCTAAAATTCACAACTCATTCGTTCCTTCTTTTCTCTGGTGGGGTGATCTCTTGGAGACCCCTGTCCTTAGAAAGGGCCCAGAACAGGGTGATCACTTCCAGCCCCTCTGCCGGCCACACATCCCAGGGCTCCTAGAGGCCTGGAGGATAGTTCTGTGTAGGCTGAGTCTGAAAGTGCTGCTGCTCTTAGTTCCCCAGACAGACACTGCCCTCCCCTACCCCCAGACGGCTTTTTGTGTTCCATCGAGATAAGCAACCCTCTTTAGTGTTGTTTCAGGAAGTAAGATGGGCCAAGAGGAAGTACAGAGCCCAGAACTCTCAGCAAAAAGTTGGAAAGAGCCTGCACTCGAATGTTTATAGCAGCACAATTCACAGTTGCAAAGATGTGGAAACAACCGAAGTGCCCATCAATATACGAGTGGATTAATAAAATGTAGTATATGTATACCATGGAGTACTATTCAGCTATAAGAAACAACGGTGATATAGCACCTCTTGTATTTTCCTGGCTAAAGCTGGAACCCATTCTATTAAGTGAAGTATCCCAAGAATGGAAAAATAAGCACCACATGTACTCACCAGCAAATTGGTATTAACTGATCAACACCTAAGTGGACATATAGGAATAACAATTGTCGGTTGTCAGGCAGGTGGGGTGGAGGGGATGGGTATATACATACATAATGAATGCGATGTGCACCAACTGGGGGATGGACATGCTTGAAGCTCTGACTCAAGGGGGTTGGGGAAGGCAAGAGCAATATACGTAACCTTAACATTTGTACCCCCACAATATGCTGGAAAAAAATTAAAAAGGAAAAAAAAGTTGGAAAGAGCAGAAGAGGGGGTGTGAGTGGCAAGGAGAAGGGTCAAATTATCAGAATTCATTCATTCAGGGACCAATGAGGGTACAGGACTGGGTGAAAGAGAAGCTGGGAGTGCAGACTCTGCAATATTCCTGCTTTCTGCTGGGTTAGCAGAAATGATAAGGAGGTGGATGGGAAAAGCAGAAGAACAAGAAATAGATTTTGGTGGCAGTTTCCTAACCTTAGCCAGAGCTCATTCCTTCTAAATGCATAATAGCAAGCACTGAGAATTCAGCTGCATGAGTCAACTCTTAGCCGAGCACAGCTGGTACCCAGCCTTTGCAGCAAAAATCCTTTGTCAAAGGGACAAGTAAAGATTCTCTGCTCAAAAGAGCAAAAACCCAGCACCTCCTGTAAACATCACATCTGCTGAGCCTCAGTTTCTCTTCTCAGCCCACACCCCCAGCAAAGTCTCTCATGCTCTCACTCTAGCACCAGCCTGTGTCAAAGCTATTTGAGGAATGACAGAACAGCAGGATAACCAGACACGCAGAAAGGAGGGAAAAGGCAACGTGTGCGCATAATCACACAGCATGTCCTGCCACCCTACTCCCCAAGCCTCAGACCCGCCCTGACGGAACAGGCACCTGTCCGGGAATTAAACTCCTTTCCCTGAAGGTGCTCACCTGGTCACCAACTTCTGGGAACCAGACACTTGAATGCAGTTGTTATTTAGGGAGGCCACCTGGTTCAGGTGCTTTTCAGCACTACCCAAAGGGGTTGTATTAACCAGGCATGTCAGAGAGACAGCAAGAAAGAACATCTGGACGTAAGCCCACATAGCAAATTGAAAGCACCTATATATACACAGCCAAAACCAAAATTCAGCAATAACAACAGTGTTGTTGTTGTGTTTACTAACAAACACTTGTCAGTGGAGCAGTAGAGAGATGCCCTGGCACAGAGCCTGTCCCTCTTCCTAGTTCTGCTTCTACATCCTTCGATTAACTGCTGTATCCCAAGTTGGTCCAAGCCTGAACTATGGACCATGCTTGTCCCTGCCAGACATGTGATCTCTCCCTGAGCAAACTCCCCAGTCCAGACATTAAGGGGTAGTCCTTTCCAACTGCATTTGCATCGTTCTAGCATTTTCTAATGTTAATTCCTCCCACAATCCTGCAATGCCGGCATCCTCCAATGGGGCCTCTCATAAATGGTTCTACTGCAACTGCTTTTGTTATCTCTGCTTGGGAGGGGAAGTTACCAAGAGCAATTTCTAGAAGGCTGCATGCTACCAGAAAAAGCCTTTCTCACAATAAAGCAATCTTTGATTCTTGGTAAATCACTGTAAAAACATTTGCCCTCCCCACTCTCCAGTATATAGGTAAGTTCTTTAAGAATCAGCCCATCTCAGCTGGGGTAGATAAACCAAGGAAAGTGGTTTGTGTCCAAACACAGCATGCTGTACACAAGAGAACACATGAAAGAACAACCCACTGGAGAGAAGAGAAGCAGGGAACACACGTGGGGCCAACTAAGCCACCTCTGCCCACCTAAGAGTTCTAATTCCAGAGTTCTCTGTACATATCATGGGGGCTTCTTTTCTGTGAACAAGAGAAACCCTTCCTTCAGTTTTTCTGAATGGACAGTCTATCACTGCTCAGGGAGGGCGATTTGAAAGGGGAGGGGAAAAAGACTTTCATAGTCACTTAATATTTTGCCTACGACTGGGCCCTGAGTGTCATTTTCGCTCTAGGTTGAAAACCAAAAGGCAAACTGGGAAACAGAACAGAGGGGCTGGGCAGAAGGTCACCCCATTTGCCTGCTCCCCCACCTGCGCCCACAGCCCACAGCCACTCTTGGATAACGTGCTTCATCCCATCATCTCCCAAGTAGGAGATTCTGCAGCCTCCTGACCCCTGCCCTGAGGCAACCAGAGCGATCATGCTGAAACTCAACCACCAGGAGGACCCCTTCCCCTTCTTAAAAACCATTTACTCTCATGTGGCCTCAGGATCAAGTCCAGATTCCTTGGAGTGGCTTACACCCTCCGTGATGGGTCCCCCGGCCTCTGCAGTCTCCTGCCACCTGGGTGCTCTACAGAAACCATAAGCTGCGCCGTGCCTAGCAACTCATGGCTCAGCCACTCTCTTTCACTTCCCCTCCCCTGTGCACTCACTCTTTGCCTGGCGTACAGGGCCCTTCTCCCCCAAGTCCATCTAGAAAACACTTCCCCTTCAAGATTGTGCTCAAACAGGACCTTGAGGAAAACTTCCCACACTCCACCTCCCGTCTGGGACCCCAGCGTGCTGTATTTTCATGACCCCTGCCCTGTTACCGAGTAAATTCCTGGAGGGCAGGGACCACCACTTTGCATTGCTGCATTTCCAGCCCCTATCACCATTCCTGGCAGGCCACAGGTGCTCCATATATTTTTGATAAATGAATGAATAGGAAAGCACTTCAGTGAACCGGGTGGCATAAACTGAGACTGGATACGTAATAATAACAATAAGTCAGCTAAGAGTGCTTAGCACTTCGCTTGTTATGTTCACACTCTCATTCAATGCTCACTGATGCTCTCTGACAAAACAGATCCTATCCTTAATGTTGAGCAATCTGAAGCTCAGAATAACTTGCCCAAGGTCACGCAGCTAGGAAGTGGTGGGGCTGGCATTCAGACCCAGGTTCCTGCTTCAGAGCCCAGATTCTGAACAACAGCCTGCAGTGGGTGAATGAGAAGAGGAACAACCATACAAGGCTCTCACGAGTACAAGGAGTCCCTGGGTTTGACGTTGCCATATTATTGATATCAGTAGGAGATTAATATTCTCAGATCTGGAAAAGAAAGTGGCTACCAAGACCATGGGGACAAAGCACAAGTGTAACATAGATTCAGCGACTGGTCTGAGTCGGGAGGAGACGGCAGAACCGGAGGCATGACTGCACGAGCAAGCCACTGGTCCGGCTGGGGCGCTAAGGGGGGCTCTGGGCCAGAAAGAAAACTATTTATTGGACCAGAGTGCCAAAAATTTTTTTGTAAATAATGAAATAAATCATAAGTGAACTGTGGTTCAGGAGACTTCCCCACCTAAAAGAAGGGCCATGGCTGTTTTCAGTCCTACTGAAAGACCCTGAACTTCATCGGGGAGGCAAGGATATGGGAGCAACCATGGGCCTGAATCACAGGAAAAGTGACTGGAGTCCTGGGGAAAGGCCTCTCCTGTCCCCAACCCTGGCCTGGTGCTGATTTGGGCCTGTTGCAACCGGGCACGGTTCGACCGCAAGGCTGCAACATCCTGAGAGGCCGGCAGGGGAGAGGGTTCATCTGATCCCTTGCAGTTTCTCAGAAAAGCCTAGAAAACTCTAGCGGTCAGCCCACAGTAACGGCAAGATGCAGTGTTAGCAGGAGCCCAGGAAAGGACTCTGGAGCTCTAGAACTGGTCCAGGCGGCGGCTGACACAGGAAGTCGGGCGGGCAGAGGGTGGCGGCTGCTTCTGCGCAGGGCTCTCCCGCTGACTCCGCTGCTGCCTGCAGAGTTGCACAAAATCGGTTTGCTCGCTTCCTCTTGGCCCCATCCCCACTTCCCCAAAGCCTTGTATCTTTACAGAGCTTTTTGTTTGCTAGTTAACAGCAGAGGCTCAGAGAAAAACCAGTGCTCAGAGTCACCCCTGAAGGTGGCTCTCTCTTACATCCCCTCTCCACCCGCCCCCCACCATGTCCCTATCTGCTTCTCGGTCAAGCCGGAGGGAAGAGGCGAGGCTTCCCCTGGGGGCTCATCTCTGCCTCCAGGGCCTCTCATTAGGGCCCCCAGCCCCGGAAGCCACCCCGGCTGTGGCGCCCAGGCACACAGGAGCCATGGCTCGCTGTCCTGCAGCCCGAGCGTGTGGAGATCCACTCGGCGCCAGCGTGAGGGGGAGGGAGAGGTGGGGCCTGGAGATGAGGTCAGGGTTCCTTCGTTCTGAGGAACAGGAAATCCTGCCCGGCGAAGAGGAACTGTGCTGGGTGCCCGGACCCCCGCCCACACCAAGTGTGTCAGGAGGTCTCCCGGCCCTAGCGAAGAATCTAGAAGGGTTCAGCTCACTCTCAAGTTCCAGGTTCAAGACACTCAACAAAGTAAGGAAGCCTGAGTCTCGGCAGGGTAGCGTCAGCGTCAGGTGTCAAAAAGGCCTGTTCCCGCCTCCCTGCCGGGCACTGTGCTCAGCAGTGGCCGCCTGGTGGCAGCACGTCTCTGCTGCTGCCTGTCGGGGCCCAGGCTGCTGCCGAGGTAGAAAACTGGTAAGTAAGGAGGACCCAGGACGCCCCCTTGAAACGCTGCTGAACCGGCAACCTCAGATGGTGCAGAAAATGAAGGTGAGAATTAAGGGAGGGCCAGAGGGACAAGAATAGATAGCCAACTGCCTAAATACAACCCAGTCCCACGGAGAATATTCCTGGGCAGTACCAAATTCAATCCTCTTGACTCAAGCAGGTTGAGAAGCGGCTTCGCCTTTCAAACCTGTGAGTGTTCCCATAAAAACAATATGTGTGGTTTGCTTTATAATGTGCAAAGCTACACACACACTCCACATTATTAAATTAACACAACAGCCCCACAAGGCAGGTGTCATTAAGCTCATGTCACAGAGGAGGGAACTGAGGTAAAGAGATTTTTAGCGACCTGCCATACAAATGTCACTGGTCCTTCCCCCGGCACCTGCCAATCTCTGACCTGCCCTCCCACTTTGCTGGAAAGCTTCGTGTTGTTCAGAGTCTGGGATTTCTGCAAACGCCCTCAGGTCTCTTCATAACCTGGCCTCTCTTCATCGCAGCCCCTGGCTTCTAATCACTGGACCAGGTGTCTCCCCCACACCAGGTGTTACCCATAGTGGTCTGGCCTCACGCCCTGATCCCACCCATGTCAACTATGGGTCCTGAAGTTGATCCTCATGCCTTTATCTATATACCAGAAGGTGTAGGAATGAACTCTGCAGACAGCAGCTGCCGATGCTCAATCCTTACAGCAGGGCCGTATCCTGGTCTCCTTCTGTTTAACCTTCTGCCTAACAAAAATGCGACAAAACTTCTTAATGAATTGGATGCAAAATCTCCTGCCACATTGGGAGATAAGTAACCTTCTCTATTTTGATGACATGTGTCCTACCCTCCTACTCCACAAGTCCTTTCATAATTACTACCTTAAGAGCTGTCATTGATAGAATTCTAATTAACACATGCCAGGTACTTTGTTACGTGTTTGACACACGTGGCTTATAATCCTATACCAACCCTGAAAGTATTACCAGACCCGTTTCACAGACAAGGAAACTGAGGCTTGGTGAGAACCGAGTGTCTTTACTCTGGGCAGCAGTCAGCAAATGGCAAAGCCCTGGGTCTTTCAATGAACCACACAAATAAAATCCTCCATCAATTATGCCAAAACCCGAATTGCCATTTGGGGCAGAAATTCTTCAGTATCCTAATGGGAAGATTTCTTTCATAGGTTGGGCCAGCTATGGCAGACAGTGAATTTTGTGTCACTTGCCTGCTCTCCAGCTCCTGTCAAAGCCTGGCCAAGAAGACTATCATTCAGAGATGGTGGAGAGTAGCCAGCCAGCCCCTCCTCCACACTCTCTACGCACTGCTGCTGCACCTAGCCATGATCAGGCGACAATGCTGTGAAATCGTATTACTTTAGTTCCCTGCTGACTGTCCCAGATGACCTTATTCCCTCTGCTTTTTCTTAAAGGTTAATACAGAAAACTGTTACATGAAATATGTCTCAGCATTTCATCGTGACCCAAGATATGATCTGTTGCTATGTCCCTTACATAAAGTTTCATAAGATAAATTTCTCTGAGAAGTGTTAGTGCTAGAAAAGGGGTTGCTTTTCTTGATAAACTGCTTTGCTCATCTGGTTAGTGGGAGAGCTTGGTATAATTCACTTCTGTCTGAGCAGCCAGGAGTCTCAGAGCTGGTATTCAGTCTCAGTAATCATACTTCACTTAGGTTTTCTAGGATGTCTAGTACCCTGTATCATCCCTTGCCTCCTAGTGTTCTAGCAATTCTGTCATTCCTTGGGGTTTTTTTTGTTGTTGTTTGTTTGTTTGTTTTAAGACAGAGTCTCACTTTGTTGCCTGGGCTAGAGTGAGTACCATGGCGTCAGCCTGGCTCACAGCAACCTCAAACTCCTGAGCTCAGGCGACCCTCCTGCGTCAGCCTCCCGAGTAGCTGGGACTACAGGCATGAGCCACCACACCCGGCTAATTGCTTTTGTTTCTATTTTTAGTTGACTGGCTAATTTTTTTTATTTTTAGTAGAGATGAGGTCTCTTTCTTGCTCAGGCTGGTCTTGAACTCTTGACCTCAAGCAATCATCCCACCTCAGCCTCCCAGAATCCTAGGATTACAGGCGTGAGCCACCACGCCCAGCCATTCCCTGTTCTTTGATTATCAGTAGGTTCATATCGTTTTTGGACATATGCAAGATATCAATAATAACTACATAGAACTAACATTAGAAAGAGCATTAGGGTTTATTTCAAAGTCATGACTGTAGGTCATGACTCATGATTCCAGTCTGTCATGCAGGGATGCATGTCAGTTCCCCCATGAGTTGGGGGTAAGGATTTTTTTTCCCTCCCATCAGGGGTCCACAATCGCTTTTTAGATTATCAGTTTGAGCAAAAGAGAGAGAAAAAATGAGACTGAAAATGCCCTCTCATTTTAAGTGAGTCTTTTAGGGAAAGCTTTCAATACAATACTTGGGCATCCATAGCAAGCAATATCTAGTAAACGCTCTCTTAGGAATGATGCGTAAAAAGCATAATGATATGATTCTCCCAGGTAGAACTTATTTTTATTTTTATACATCCCACCCACTTCCACAAGGGATTAAAGTAACTGCCAGGCTGAGTTAGTAGCTTCTTCCTCTGTACTCCTACATAAGCTTACATATTCCTCTATTTGAACACTTATTACACCATTTTGTAGTTATTTATTTACATGACTGGTTCTCCTACTAGCTAGTAAACTCTTAAGTGAAGAAATTTTGCCTAATTCATCTTGGTATCTTCCTCCCACTCCCTTTCTCCCAAAAGCACCAAGAGCCTAAAATATACCTGACACGCAGGAGACTTGCAATAAATTCCAGTTGAACGTATGATGTATTATTCTCAGGTCTGCCTTGTTCTCACCTGTCAGAATGCTGACCGTACCTCTTTACGCCCACTGAGCAATCAGGAGGGGTATCAGAACACCTCAACAAAAATAGGCTTTTGCATCTTCTAACTTCAATCCCAAACCAGTACATATAGAAAACTAGACCCATGTGGGTCTAGTTAAAGGGACCCTCAGAGAGAATATCTAATTCTACATTACAGTTTGTGATTTCAGCATTTTTACCTACAGTAGCTCATTTCTTTCTCTCATCTCTGTGATCTATCTCAAATGGTACCCCTTACACGTGCTCACACACACGCGCGCACGCGCACACACGCACATGCTCTCTCCATCGTCTCACTCTGTTTATTTCCTATGTCACACCTTTCACAATCAGAACTTGATTGTTCATTTCCTTGTCTTTGGTCTCTCCCCTTGTTTGTCCTGTTCACGCTCTGTCTGCAGGAGCTGGAACCACGTCCAGCCTCGTTACAAGTTAGTCTGACACATTGCTCCGGGCCACTGGCCACTGATCTTGCCCCACATCACTGTGTTCAAGACGAGGTTTTAAGGACACGTGGATTTGAAATGGGACGGAACCCCTGAGGAAACTGATGCCCAGAGTGGCTAGTTCAAGGTCAAAACTGGAACAAGCAGTCAGGTTTCTTCACTAGCAAACCCCTTCACTGGCTCCCTTGTCACTCTGGTCCCAACTTTCTTTTCTTTTTTACTTTATCACAAACATCTCAAAGCTAAGATCAATTTTCTGAACGCCTCGCCAAACAGCCTAGGGCTGTCCAACCAAGCACACAGTTGATCCTTCCTTCTTCATCACTGCCCCTGCCCTCGGCCAGTCTGCCTGTCAATCCATGCTAATAGGTGTAACAGTGGGTGCTAGTCAGTCACAGTACCCCACATCGGCAGTGCCTTTCCAAACCCACAGCACCCAAGCTCTGCCTAATGGATGTTTAGATGCAGTGAGACACTTGCAGCCACCTGTGTGCTCTGCACAGCACGTACCCTGGTGCCTTTTCATCTGGGCTTCAGGCCTGCCCCACCCTGACCTGCTCCAGAGGAGAAGTCAGTGTTGGACTCCAGCCATGCGTTTCAGAACATGCTGTGTCTTTCTTGTTTTGAACTCTGTTTCTGAATGGATGACCTTGGTCAAATTGCTTAATCTCTTAATGTCTTCATTTCCTCTTTGATAAATCAAAAAGATACTTCTCTGAGGCACGAGTGAAGTAACATAGGCACAGCAGCTGGTACAGAACCTGGTCCCCTGCACCCACTGCACCTTAGGCAGCTACCCGGAATGGCAGCGCCACTAGGGATGGTCCGGGTTTCAGCATCAGGGCCACTCCAGCACCTCCAGTACTCTGCTTACCAGGGAGCTTGGGAGATGTTGAGTTAAAGCAAAATCATTCCACGCCTACCACTCCTCCTCAAACCAGGAGATACAGGCTTATTGGGAAGCCATAGGATGTGTTGGCTAGATGCTGTGTTTCTCTCATTGGGGGGCTCTACCTCCGTTCCAAATCCCCCAACAGTACTCCTGGCTTCAGAAATGGGAAGTGTCTGAAGGAGATTGCATGGAAAGGAGATTGTCTTCCTCTCCCTTCTCCATGCTTGGCAGGAAGCAAGTAGTTTGTAAGCATAAGCAGATCTGCTGGGTGGGCTCCCCTAAACCACGTCTTTGACTCTTCATGAGCCTGTGGGCAAGAAAGCCCCAGGTCTGACAGTGCTCAGCTTCCAGGCATGTGGCTGTCAGGTCACGAGCCCCCAAGAGCCACTTGGACCCCCTCAGTTGCTGCAGTTGAAGCCCTCAAGGGCCAGGTCTCAAGAGCCAGATTATTCAGAGCAATAATCATAGTTTCCGTTTCTTGAATGTCATTCATTCTAGAGGACCTGGCAGATCACTCAGCACTATTCACTACTATAAAGGGGCCACCTCTGGAGCAGGGCGTGAGGGTTGCTGAATAACAGCGACAAAGGGGATATTATAGCCAACTGCAGCCAAAACAGCTGCAAGTCAAACATGGGGGCATATGAGTCTGATAATTTAACTTGCATTACATTTATTTGTATTTGCTCTGACCGCTAAATACCAAACATCCTCTAATCTTTCATTAACCCTGGAATCTTTCCTGCCTTCAAAGGGCTAAAGAAATAGAATTCGTTCTAGGTCTAGAGGGCAGGAATCACTCCCAGGCCTCCAAGATAATATTTCATTCTGTCCTTGCCCCTCCAAGATGAGTCAACTGACTTGCTCTGGTCATTCCCAGAGGAAAGCTAGACACTGCTTCAGTGACCACGACTTCAGTGACCACGGGCAAGAGAACTCTGGGTCACTGCAGATGGTGCAGCCTGTGCTCCATCCCTGCCCCCATCCCCACCCCCGCCCAGTGCCCATGACTAGGGCTTTTTGTGTTATCCTGGAGTTGGCATCCTCTCCATTTCCTGCCAATAATGCTCGCTGTTGTTTCCGAGCAAATGGAACAAATGGAACAAATGACCGACGTGAACTCCATGCAATCTGCAAACTGGAAACATCTGCAGGGAGTGGGGGCAGCCCCTGGCTAGGGTGGAGCTGTGGGGGAGCCAGTGGGAGGGGCTGTGGGAGGAAGGTCCTTGATCGTTAGGGAGGAAGGCAAAGGTGAAGCCTCAACAGAAAACCTCAGACAGGCAGACAGGCTCTGGTATAAGATCCTAAGATTAAGGGCCTCCCAACCTCTCCCTTCCTTTTACTTGCTGAAGAGGAACTCTTAGCTGTGTCTTGAACAAATGAAGGGAGGACACTCATACTCTTTTATAAATACCATTTTAGATGTTAAACTTTTGTGTGGTTAAGCTAAAATGGAAAACGACAGGCCCAACCTGCCATTTCATGGGTGATGACAAAGGCCCAAAGAAGGAGTAGATGTCGTAAGCTAGAAGCCAAGTCTGAACTAGTACCCAGCATCACCACCGCCCCATAAGAGTGAGAGTCCCTGCAGCTTGGGTGCACACGTACATCATGCCACACTGCCTCCCTCAAAGTCATGCTAAAAGTTGTGCCTCCCTTAAAGTCAGGAGCCCTGCCTGGGCCTTCCCCATGCAGTAATAAATACAGTTATAGTGACATTCTGGAGCTCTCTCTGGGCCTGGCCCACGCTGCCACATCCTCACGTCCTTCATGCATCCTGGATGTTGCCACAGGTTCACTGATCCTTAGCGTAGCCCTATGATAGAGCCTGTCACTTTCACCACATTTTTCTGCAGGTAAGAAAATTGACATTTAGCAAGATTAAGCAACTTGCCCAAGGTTGCAATGCTAGCAAAGGGTAGAGCCAGCCTTGACCTCAGGCAGTCGCATGCTCAACCACTGTGTCAGGCTGCCGGCAGCAGCCCATTGAATCCAATTGCAACCTTGAGAGGTGAGTTGTGCTCATTAATATAGAGGAGTAACAGAGGCTGAGAGTTTTTAGAATCCTGAATTCAACAGAAAGACAGCCGCACAGCGTTTCCCCTACAGAGGGAATCTCTAGAGTGAGACCTAGTTCTTGACCCAGACTCTAACCTGGAAGGGATTTTCTGAGCATCAGACTGGTGGGGTTCCATGGGAGAGGGGCTGGCTCTTCCTGCCTGATTTCACAGGGGCCGCTCAACCAGGTCTCCCACCTGCTAAGAACTGAGCCTGGGTCCCCCCGTGCCTTGGGAGAAGAGCCAGTTTCCTAAACTGTCGCCTGCCAGTCTTCATCCCTGTTTTGTTTGACGAGGGAATCACTCCCTGAGAGGCGATTTCATACCCTGGCTGAAGACACTGGGAGAGGACAAGGGCTTCGTGTTCCCTAACGGGAGCTGGGGACCCCGCCGGTCTCCTCCCAGCAGATGACAAGGAAATAAGTCCCTGAGAGCAGCTGACTGCCCCTTGCGCAAGAGGCGATGAGCACCAGCGTCCCAGGCAGCTGCTGGGCCCCCGCGCGCCTG